TTCATTCTAGCTTCACCACGAGTCATGTTGCTCAAATATACGATGAGAAAGGACAAACACGACCTGTGTCGGTGTGACACAAACCGTGTTTCAAACGTAGTCCTTTGCTATCATGATAATGCAACAAGGACTCGGGTTATGTCTTCATGTTTTCTTCCATGGCATGACCAGTCCATCTTCTCTTCATGCTCCAAAGCTCCATGTTCCTTTCTCCAAGCTCCATGTTCCATGCTCCAAGCTCCATGCTCCATAATGCCTACAAAATAAATCAAAAATAGTGAAGTACCAGGAATTCTTAATTAAAATATGTAATTGCCCAAATAATTAACTAAATGCAAGAATTATGAAGTAGAATGCTATGAAAGGACAAAAATAAACATGAAAAATAGGTGCATAAAATGCACCTATCAGGCAAAAAGAATTTAAGTGTTTCATTAACTTCTGGTCAGATCGTTCTCACGACGTGAGCACAAGGGTGTCACGACGTAAGGATGGCATTCCTCTACTGCTTTAGACTTGTTAGGTCACAACGTGACAATTAGGGGTCATGACATGACTAGTGGATTGTGAGACTTTTGAGTATAGATTGATTTTGACTTTAACCAGGGTTTGAACAAGTTAACTTAAGGGTATTGTGGGTATTTTGAATAGTAATTCAGATTGGTCCCTATTTGATGAATAGGTGGCAGGTAGATCCAGTATTCGGAGTAGAGATTTATTCGGCATTTGTTCGAACTGAGAGGTGAGTTTTTCTCACTGTACTTGCGGGTTGAAGGCACCAAGGTCGGACCATACGTTTGATAACCTGTTATATTGATTGATGATATGTTGAGTATACGGTAGATCTGTATGATTATATGTTAGTTGATGATAGGCGTTAGACTGGTAGATCGGTAGGACTACCTGTGATTGCTGGTTGTATGATTATCTGTCTGTTGAGTATGTCTGTTATTTGTTATATGTCGACATGTTATGTTGGGGTTGAGACTATTGCTTTGTGTTGTTAGTTAACAGATCAGGGCATTCCAACCGAAAGGTTGTGGGCCAAGGGTAATCCAACCAGGAGGTTGTGGACCCATTATATATGGGGCATTCCAATCGAAAGGTTGTGGGTCGGAGCATTCCAACTGAAAGGTTGTGGGCTAGGTGTAATTCAACTGGGAGGTTGTGGACCTGATATTTGTTTGATTATCTGTTTGTGTGGTGGTAACTTGGGGGAACTCACTAAGCTTTGGCTTACAGTTTCAGTTATTGTTTCAGGTACTTCTGATGACCGCGACAAGGCGAAGGCATGATTGTGCACATCTTCTAGTTTTTATGATATTGGAGCTGGGATACTCTTTTGAATAATACTTTTGAAACAATGGATTTGTAAGCATTTCATGGATGAAATGGGTGTTGTTGAAAATTTTAAATTTTTATGATTTTTGGGATGTTACAATGTTGTGGGCTCGGAGGCAATCCAGACTTATGTTGAGGACCTAGTAGGCGTATTCCAGACATAGGTTATGGGCCTGGTAATCTTGTTTGTTTATTTATGCATGTAGTTCTTTGGATGTTAGTGTATTGTTGGGAGTCGGGAGATTTAGGGACAAGCTGGTTTGGATCATGTGGTCAGTAAAAGTTGTTTGGTTGTTGTATTGGTTGTGCATCGGAAGTCGCTTGATGAATGTTTGCAATGTTGGACCCCATTTCCTTGTAGGTTGTTTATTAGAAGTTTGGTTACCAGTCTTAGCTATTGGTTCTGAAATCTCGAGTCACAAATTCCATTGTAGATGTCTCGAGTGATCTGTCAGGTGGAGGTACACCTGGACTGATAAGGGATTTGGATGCAACATGAAATTCTTGGATGGATCATCATTATGCCCGTGGGAACAGTGGGTTGGTGATGTCTTGTCAGGAGGTCAAGTGTGTGTTTAAAGTTTTCAGGCACAACTTCTGGATTTGAGGTTGGTTGAAATTCATGATCGGTGTCTTTTAAGTATTCTTTTGTATAGGTTAGTGGTGTTCCTAGTCAAGGACTAAGGGTAGGTACAACATATGTATGATCATCGGTCTTAGGGTATAGTTTCTGAAGTTTAAACCGGTGGGTACCCAGTTTGGGAAGTATATTGATGGAGTCGATTCGTGGATGTAATTTTGAGAGTTCCCGGTTTGAATGGTTCTCTCTGGATGTTGGGTCTTACAGTTCTGGTTGCGGTTGGGCATTTTCAAGTTATGGAGTTGTTGGTCGGCAGTTGCGGGCTTCTGAGTGGTTCCTCTAAATTTCTTTATATGAAGCCTTAACTTTGAGGTGGTTAAGGGAGTATTGGAATATGTCGGTGTTATGTGTGTGTTACTCTACAACAGTTTCTAGTAGGGGCTCATGTTGGGAGAAGGGTTTAACGACAGTGGATAACCAATCAAGGCTTTGGATTTCCGGATTTCGGGCAGAGTAGTAATGGTTGTTCTTCAAGGGTTAACGATAGTGGGTCAAGGATTCATTATTAGCCAGGGTATGTAGTTCTTCTTAGTCTGGGTTTCGATTGTTGTATAGGAAGGCAGTTGCTTGTAGGAGTCGAATTCTCAGTTCAGATCGGGATCGTGGAGGAATTGTCCAAATTGTCGGGTATGTCTGAAGAGTGCTAAAGAGTAACTTCGAGGATGAAGTCTGATTTAAGTGGGGGAGAATTATAGCACCCATTTTCCAGATTGGATCGATTTGGGGCTCCGAGGAGTCAAAGACATGGTTTTTGGGTAAAACCATGGCTCACGACGTGACCATAGAGAGGTCATGACGTGAAAAATGATCAACTAAGATTCTGATTTAAATTGATCTCATGACGTGAGAATTATGAGCTCACGACGTGAGATGCTCTGCAAGCCAAGCCCATGATATTTTAGGGTTTCCTTCGTATTTAAACCCCATAAACTTCATTTTAGGGTTCCAAAAACAACCTCCTTAGTTCCTAAGCTCAGTAAAACCCTAACCCTAGCATCTCATTGTGATTCTTGAGCTTTTGGTGGAGTTTTGGTAGCTTGGAGAAGAAGAGATCACCATTGAAGCATAGTTTCAACTTGGAAATTCCATTTGCAACCTCTAACTACACTTCTGGACCATTGTGAGTAACCAAGATCCAAACTTTATGTTTCCTTGTTGCTAGATCTAAGTTTTTATGCATGTTTAGCCATGGTTTAAGAGTTAAGAGTGTTGTAACTCCATAAAGTTGGCAACTTCATGGGTCTAAGGGGTCCCTTGGTGCTTATATCTTATGGATCTGAAGTTTGGAGGATGTTTAAGTCCATGCTTGAAACTTAACTCCTTTTTCTTCATAAATGACCTAGTTTGAGCTCAAGTCTTGTATTGGGCATACAAGACCTTAAAAAGCATCAATTTTTATGATCCTAGGAGTGTGAAGCCCCCTGGAAAGATGGATTAGTTGCTTAATGGATTAAGAAGTTTTTGGATCAAAATGGCACTCAGACAGATCTCACGACGTGAGGAGATGCATGTCACGTCGTGAGGGTTGTAAGGCTCAACTATTTTGTCCTATAGTGGCTCACAACGTGAGCCATAGATGGTCACGTTGTGAGGACGGTTGACTGTTGACTATTGACCGTTGACTTTTTGACCAAGTTTGTCTTTGGGTCAAACTTGATGATTTTGGCCTATTGATTGAGATCATACCTGGTTTTTCGTGATTAGCGGATTCGCGGGCGCAATCAGTGCTTTAAAGGGATTGTATACCAGTGTTTCAGAATTCTTCGATTCAGGTGAGTTTTCCTCACTATACTCGTGGGTCGAAGACACCAATGCCAACCTACTAGGTTATGTATCCTGGTATAGAGGATCTTGCTTTGTTGTAGTGATCTGTTAAATCTATATCCTGGTATATAGGATGTTGTGATGTGGTAGTGATCTGTAGATCTGCCTGTTTGTCTGACTGGTTATGTGATTATCTGTTTGTTGGATACATGTTATCTGCTATGTATATGTCAATATGGTATGGTTGGGTTGAGGCAATCTTGGTTTGTGCAGAAGCCAACAAACCTGGGAGCAAGCCAAACATAAGCTGCGGGCCAGTAAGGCAAGTCAGACTTATGTTGTGGGCTCAGGAGCAAGCCAGAAATAAGTTGTGGACCAGTAAGGCAAGCCAAACTTATGATGTGGGATCGGGAGCAAGCCAGACATGAGTTGTGGGTCAGAAGGCAAGCCAAACTCATGATGTGGGCGCGGGGGTAATCCAGTCTATTAGCTGTGGACCCAATATGCATGTCGTTATCTATTTATGTGATGGTACTTTGGGGGAACTCACTAAGCTTCATGTTTATAGTTTAAGTTTTATGTTTCAGGTACTTCAAATGATCGGGACAAGGTAAAGACTTGATCATGCACATCATCATGGATTCTATGAGATTATGATTTTGAGATACTCTGATTTATGTTTATTACTTTTGGAAACTACGATTTGAAAACACTTATGGTTTTGGATTGGTTTCAAAAATGAAAAACTTTACCAGGATTTTTAGGATGTTACATTTTCACTAGTTAATGATAGACATTTCATAGTGAACCGCTATTATGCAAAAAAAAAAAAAAAAAAAAAAAAATTGCAATATGTCTTCAAAAGTTGGTTAGATTACAAACACACAATCAAATTTGCAAAATGGTCATTTGTATATATGAACTTCATATTGTTGGTGAATGGTGGTCCTCCAGCAAATCAAAGTTCTAGAGGCATCGAAAATAATGATGTTACAATCAATGTTCTAAATAACGTAAGGCGTGACTTGGCGGCAATGTCAAGCCTCAAGCTTTTCGAGCATTGGCAAGCTACGTCGTTTGTAAGACGTGAGTTAAGGCGGCAATTTTATATATAATTCATATTTTTATATGTATTTTCAACTACCATTTATTTTTAAACATATATACGAGTCAAAACCACGTTTCGGTAAACCTTGCGTCACATACAAGCCTTTGGAATGCCACGGCGGTATACAAACACAATCAAATCTTCAATCCACTTCACAAAAAAAAAAAAAAAAGCGAGCACATTTACAAATTACAAACACACAAATCAGGATTCAATCAACCATTAATCCTCCTACAAATCCTTCTAATCTCTCCATGGTTTCCTGTCAATGGAGCTATATCCCCCATCTTAATCATCGACTTCGCAAACTGATCAAAAAACTCATTTTGATTCGCCGCATAACGTTTCACCAATTCCATAGTCTCTTGATTCTGCGTATACAGCATCTCATCGGAGCTCAACAACCCCTTCAAACCAATCAAATTCTTATAATATCCATTATCAAACTTTCTCGGCGATCCAGGATCCATGGCGAACAAATTCTGATCACCACCGGATCTCGGACAGTTTACACGAAGTCGGGCAGCATACGATTGTTCTAAAGAGAAATCCGGTTGCCCGTTGCCGGAGTTGTTGTACAGTCTTTGCCGGAAGCTGGTGCACCTAGCGTTTCCGATTGTGTGACTTCCTGCAACAAAAAAAGGTGTTTTGAGATAGGGTTTGTGAAATTAATCGTTGTGTTCATCAATTGGGGTTGAAGATTACCTGAAAGTGCTACGAAATCGATAATGTGGAGACCCTTGAGCTTGAATTTGGTGAGGATTGTTTGGAAGGTGTTGTTTGGGGCTGGTATGTTCTGGTTTGAGCCGCTCAAGCTTGCACCTAGTGAGTCCCTTCTTCCCAATGGAACATCCCAACTTGGCCCACCGGTCTACATAAAAACACATAACATTTAAGAATTTTATAGAAAGTTAATTAATTAAATAATGATTTAAAAATCATTATTAAGATAATAAAACAATTTTTACAAATGTTTGAGAAGCTAACTGAAAAATTAGGTTTTGTCCGATAAACATAAACCAGCACATAATATTTGATAAAACTAATGAAAAATGATATATAAAAGGACATTAATGATAAATAAACATATAAAAGTATATTTGAAAAACTTGTAATGATATTATAAAGAAAATAAACATATAAAAGTATATTTGAAAAACTTGCAATGATATTATAAAGAAATATGTTGGGTAACTATTTCAAAAGTTAACTTATAAATTATGTAAGTGGTTTTATCAAACATTACATTACAATAAGCTCAAAGACTAAACTAACTTATAGACGACGAACAAAACTATAGCATAGATATTGAAAATACTTATTGTTCGAACATTATACTTAAGGAAATCTCCGATAAATTCTCAATATTTTGAGTCATTTTACGGTTTAATCTCAACTTAAGTTGTGTTTGGAACGTCACAACTAGCTGAAAATCTAGGTTACTTTTCGAATTTTTTTAAGTTGTCATGTTTGGTAAGCCAAAAAATAGTTTATAACCTAGTTTTTTTTATAAAGCTACTTAAACAAACTTTTTTATAAGTTTTTTAAATTTTTTTCAGATATACCTCTTAATCAATTATATAAACACATTCTTTTTAAATGTCTTTTTATGACATTTTATATCTTTCAGCTAGTTTTACCAAACGTTATTTTTTGTCAGCTAGTTTTCAGCCATCAGCTAACAGCTAGCTTTTATGCTAGTACGCCAAACATAGTGTTATTCTTTTTAACAAAAGAGTTCCGATTATTTTATATTTTGTACAAATTAACGAAAAAAATCCTTAGTTTTTTCAACAATAAATGACAGATTATCATATAAATGTAGATAATCGAGATTTTTCTGTTCAAAAATAAATATTTTGATTAAACCCACCTAAAATATTAGGACTTTATCTTAAATTTCTTTTAATATTTATAGAATTTGTTTTAATTTTAACTAGAAAGGTTACCCCCGCTACGCGGGGGCCAGAAGCTTTCAATGTTGTTTCCGAATCGATAAATAT